GGGTTCTCTGGGCGATGTGACATGAAACACTCCTCCAGTTTGCCTGGTTTTTGTTTTTTTAAGCCTCGTGATGTAAAGTTTAGCAGCAAGCAAGATCTAGAAAACCTTATCAGTTAGAGTGAGAATAACAGGTCAACACAGTAATCGTCCCTAAAATGCACAGGATCTTACATTTATAGTGCATCTTTAGCAAGAAGTCTGAAGACACCACAGCTACACCACCAAGGCGTTTCTCTTTCCTTTCTCATGCTTACATCAAGCCAAGTCACCAACTATGGCACATATTTTATTTCCTCAGGAAATATGCTACAGTGTTCTACTTGATTTGATTTCTGCAGAAACAAAGGAGAGACCAGTGTCCATGCAGTCCCCTTAGATTTTGAAAACCAAGAAGGCTATGTCAGGAGTAAATGGAAAATAGAATCAGAGAACAACTTTTCTCAAATTGCCCAAGTTTATAGTCACAGAACAGATGCACAGAAGGACCCAATTCTTAGAGAATACCTCTGAAGGAGCAGTCTATCCGTAGACTCCTCACCTAATTCCAATCCTGCAATCCTGTTTACAGGGGAGGAGGCTGTGCCTAAACACAGGAGATCTTGAAATTCCAGAGAGCCAAACAGAGCATCCCAGGAAACTCATTTCTTGGGAGAGCTTCTCATGCTATGTCCTGCAGCCATGCCTTCCAGGGGGACCCAGCTGGGCGCCGAGGCAAGCTCAGACCGTGTCCTTCCCGCCATAACTGAAAAAAAGAAAACTGAATTATAAGCATATGCTCAGTTGTTCTCAGAGCCAGGTCAGTCTTTGGAAAAAAGCATGGAATAAAGCTGAATTCTTCCTCTCCCTCTGCCCAGTCACTACCATTATTTGCAAAATGGGTTTCTTTTCCAGACCACGTTTATTCTGGAGCTTAACTCAATATAATGTTGTTATTGCTGACATTGTTGTGTGTGTGGGAGGGGTGGCAGGTGTGTAGGTGATGAGCCACCAACATGATTAAATTGTTTGATTATTTGACAGAATATGGTTGCCTCTGTGTTATGGTTGGAACATATTTTAGTTACACAATACAATGTGTTATGTTGCAATAAGTATTCGACATCTCTGGGCCTTCCTGGTGGCACAAGGGATAAAGTCTCAGTGCTATGAAGCTATTGGCAGCCACTGCAGCATGAGTTCCATCCCCGGCCAGGGAGCTGATCCACATGGTGCACCAGACCTCTCCTGTCTCCCTGATGCTCCCCTCAGCAGTGTATTTCAGTAGATCTGCCTGTTCTGCATTCAAGCATTTTCTATAATTATCAGAATTTCTATCTATTAATAGTAGGACCAGGGAAGGAGACTGAAAATATGACAAGCTAGAAGTACTCAAGGTTTTCTAACGCCTGTGGTGATTGAGCTACACCTGCCTAGCTGCCTAGAATGCCTTTCTAACTTGCCAGGTGACTATTACCTTATCACAATCATCTGAAAATGGACATAATGTACCTGAGTTTGTTGCACAGATACCAACAAATGCAACTAGAAACATGAACATCTAATACGCTTAAATCACCTATGTAATTCAACCATAATATCAGTTTTTGAGGGAAGTTAGGAGATAAATAGCTCAGTTATGAACTCCTTCAAAGAGATTATTTCAACTACTATACCATCAAAATTAGTAAGACAGATTTCATGTGGAAAGTTAGAGCTGGCCATGGTTTGATGAAGAATTTTATTATTATTTTTATTCATTTATTTTATTCATGCACAGAAGAACTGGGGCGTGGGCCAGAGGTGTAGGTTAGTGAAAGGATTCACCACAGACAGAGTGGGTAGCAGAACAGGTGGATTGACTGAAATACACTGCTGAGGGGCTCAGGAGGCTAGACAGGAGAGGTCTGCTGTGCCATGTGGGTCACCTCCCTGGCCGGGGATCGAACTCATGGTGATAGCACTGAGACTTAACTGCTAGGCCACCAGGGAAGCCCTGATAGAGAATTTCATAGCCCATCTTTATTAGCTACATGATAAAGTTCCACAATGAGAACAAGTTTGTAGTTTTGAGAACATTGTGTCCATGAAAATCCTTCTAACAAAGTCTCATAGCATAGTGGTTTACCTACCACCTTTGAGGGAAAGCACCTGAGTCTGCTCCTGAGCCCTGGAGTTTGGGTAAGTCTTCTCTCTGAGTCTGTTTTCTCATATATGAATGTAGATTAAAAAAAAAAAAAAACACTTACATCTTAGGATTTATATTTATTAAATGTGTTTGCTTACATACAATATCAAGGATGATCTCTGGTGTTAAGTCGACAAGATTGAATGTTTTTTATCGCTTCACACTCCCAGCCTGCAGATGTACAGATGAGTGACCAGAGGTTTGGGATGGATAGCGACTCAGGGTCGCTCAGGTTCTGAGTCACAGCCTGGATAGATTCATGCCAGAGCTGACCTCCCTGAGCCCAGCACTAAAGTGCCAATTCAACATCCCTTTCTTGTATGAGGTCACTAGTTAGTGCAAGCACCATCTTAAACTTGGAAGATGTAAAGATTAAGGTTTATCTCAACATCCAGTGTAGAAGACACAATCTTGGCCACTGTCTATCCTCAAATGAACCCAATTATTTCCATACTCCCACCTCTCCAGCCCCTCCTCTTCATTTGAATGCTTTTCTCATTACAAAATAATGTGCTGGGCCTCCCCGGTGGCGCAGCGGTTGAGCACTGGGTTGCGAAGCTGCCCGCGGCCTCGGCGGCGCCGGTTCAATCCCCGGCTGCTCCCCGGCCACCAGCGAGGGTCCCACATGGCGCGCAGACCTCTCCTGCCGCCCGCTGCTCCCCTCAGCAGTGTACTTCGGTCCTTCTGCCTGCTCTGCTTCCCGCTCTGGCTCTGGTGAATTCTCTCACCCTCCCGCACTTCTGACTGTACCCAGTGCATGTATAAACAAAAACAAACAAACAAATAAATAAATAAATAAATAAATAAACATGCCTCTATAAAAAAAAAAAAAAATAATGTGCTGATCACAGGGAGTGGGGGGAAATGAAACTATGCAAGTCGTGATAGAATGTGAAACACAACCATTCAGAATCCAGGTGTTGAAATGAGGTAGCCTAAGTCTCAGCAGGATTTGTTCTGTGCTAGGAAGAGTACCCTACCTTACATACCCAGTTATCAATTTTAAATTTGAGACACAAATATCAGCAACAACCTAGAGAATTCAGTGACTTCTATCTTTCTTATAAAGCTGGATTGTTTGTGAACATGCGAGGGATGCGTTATAACAATGATTTGTTACATCGTGTTGTGAAAGGTGTGCATGACATTGCCAGGTGTGTACACATTTCAGGAGGAGGGAGACGGATCCAAAGACCTCCCTGCAATGTGATAAGTATTGTATTTTACAAAATTGCTCCTGTCCCTGCCTCTGACCCTGTTCTTCTACAAAGGAAAATGTTGTAGAATTTGTCATGGGAATAAAATGTAATCGGGCCAAATGAAGATGACAAGGAAGTCCCTAAGTGTCTATCCACTCTGTCTATACAGAAATAAACAGAAAACATACTTTCCTAAGATGAAATCGATGCTCAGTAAGGTGGGTGGCAACAAGAATCTGAATTTTAAATAAAATAGTAACATCGTCAGAGACTGTGGAATAACATCAGCGTGGGTGAGGGTGATAAAGGTTCCTGCTTGTGTTTATTTTTTCAGAACAAAGTTGCAATGACCCATGCAAGAGATTTGCCCAGTGGTAGTGATAATATAATGAGATACCTCTTCCAAAATTAGCTCACATTTAAGCTAAGGGAAAGGCATTATCACGAAAATTCCTCCCAGAGTATTAGAGAAAGGATATGTGAGTTTGTGGTATCTTGTTAAACTTTTCTCAGAACACATTTAGGTTTGGTTTTGTTTTGAACATGATTTTCTTCTCCAAGTTCTCAGCCAGCCAAATCTGTGCTTTATCTTCTTGCTTTAGTAGAAAGCCTGAACAAGGCCTTTCAAAATAACTTCCTGTCTGGCTTGTTTAAAACATACCTCTTCACTGTCTCTGAGCTGAGCTGCAAGGAGCATATGAAGTCAACAAGTGTAAGGTGAAAATAAATAACCATCCAGTCTGAACAAACCACTTGCCTCAGTCAATAGTTTCTGGCTCTGGTTCAGTTGTGCCCAACAAAGTCCTTTAGCTATCTTATCATCACACTCCTTTAAGGTTACCCTTCAAAGATTATCTTGTTTTGAAGTCCTAAACACCATGAATGCAAAAATGGCCCAGGTATTATCATATATTGATGATTCATGATGTCCTTCTGGAAATGAATACTCAGGCATCTAATCAATAAAATAATTTTGAGTCTTTGAACTGATTCCAGGTCAATTTTTCTTGGCAGTTTTTTGGCTTCTTGAATTATACTGACCCAAACCATGAATAATGATCTAAAATTGCACAATATACAGAAACCATCTGTTGGATAGGAACAAGAGGGTGATGTCATGGGGCCACTTCTAATCTCGATTGAATGTCCTGCCAGTGCTGATGTCACTAGTTCGGTAACATATTGGCAGACTCCAATTTGTTAGGGATGAGTAGGTTTAAGAAGGATATTGTATCACGGAGTTGGGGGAGGCTTCTCGGTTTTTCTGGATTGGATGGAGATGAACTAGAAAGAAGAGCAAGAGCTGACAGTGGAAAGACTGGTCTTACTTTACTGCAATGTGATAAGTACTATACTTCACAAAATTGCCAGTAGCTGCCTTTGTCCCTAGTCTTCTACAAAGGAAGATGTTGTAGAAGTTGTCATGGAAATAAAATGCAATTGGGCCCAATAAAGATGACAAAGAAATCTTTACATATCCAGAAAAAAATCTGGAAGTCATGCTAAGTGAGTCTAGACTGTAGTTAGACAATGTATGAACTACAAGGTTATTGATATGTATGCGTGTGTATTTAATGTAAGAAGCATAAAGTAACCTCTTATTTATGCTCAGATCTAACAAATTCATCCTTTTTCAGGTGCCACAATAATAATGGTTGAATGTTACGGAGAACTTTTCAAGGAATCAGACCACAACAAAAACGACTAAAGGGTGAGTTGATCATTTCTATAATAAAATATCCAAATACTTGGGAATTGTTGGAGAGATTGTGGTAAAAGAATGTGAAGAATATACACAGGTAGATTTTTGGCTGCAGAAACTACTTCCTGTACAGCAAAATCTGTTGCAGTTTTAGGGGTTAGCATAGAAAGCAACATTTAATGTTCTTTTTTTAAAGTTTGTGGTTTTGTCTGAATTTCTGCTGCACAAAAGATTATGTTATAGCCTTAAAACTGTGAAATATAGAGACACCAAAGAAAGGGTGAGCCAAAGATAAACTTTAAAACCAATCCTGGAAAGGTGATCATAGATCTCAGAAGTGGGGGAGGGTTGAGGACAGAGTTGGGAGCTGGGGGGCAGCACTTTGGACTGTGGTTGAGGACAGAGGGTGCTGGGGTGGAGAGAGAGCTATGGTAAACACTTCTGAGTGGAGAAATCCTATATTGTCAAAATATTAACAAGGATCTAAAACAATGGCACTTCATTAATAAAATAAATAAATAAAACAAAAACAAAAAAAAACTTGTGGCAGAGGGCTCAATTTTCAAATCAAATTTCTTGAGTGAATAAAGTTTAGCTAATTTATGGTTTACAGGTTTATGTTATGAATTTTGAAGTGCGTTTAATGAATACACTATGTGGGTTAAAGTATGTACCTGCTCTTTGATCAAAGTAAAAGTTACTTACAGATGCTGGTGCCAATTATGAATGAAATGAAAAAACATCATGAAACAGTAAACAACTGTGCGTTTAGAACCGACTCAGATGTGAATAAAAAACATCACTAATTTAAAATTAGACACATATAATATTTTGACAGATTTTATCACTCACATAAAATAAAGCAAGTATTTGATAATAAATAACCAGGTAAGAAAGTTTTGAAACAGTTTATCTTGAGTTCCTATACTAATGGGATAATTTTTTTTTTAAGTGCTTGGGGAAGGGCATTACATGTTTTCCTTGAAAGTCTCATACATAAAGTTGAAATTTTAATTTTCCCTTCATTTTTAACTGCAGAAAGTTTACATCTGTACAATGACATAAATTGCATTTAATGTCATTTTAAGATAAGGTAGTCTTCCATTAGGTTCTGTAAAAAAAGAAAGTTTACAGGTCTAAGGAAAGAAATAAAAACAGATTCTACTCACATATCTCAAACTTTTGGGGGAAAAGTTTAGAGTTCATTAGTAATTGCAAAATTTTCTCACAATAAAGCATATTCATATAAACTATGGAGAGTAGAAGTTGAAGGGCTTGAAGCATTTTACTGTGAAACCATAGACCAAAAACATATCTACATTATGAGATTAAGAAGAATTGCTAAACAATTGTAAACTAATACCAAGAGCCAGAGGGAATCAAGGAAAGAGGCTTTTCTTGATTGCAGACTAGTTAAGCAATTTAATTAAAATGACTGATTTTAAAATATGTGCAATTTTGCCAGTGGGAAGTGTGTTTTCTGGTGATAGAAACATTGATGAGCCACAGCCAGGGGACATTGCCAGACACAAGGTCACTGGACTTCATTACAGCAAGCACATGTGTATCTCAAGCACATGAAATTTCTTGCAACTCACTAGAATTTATCCAGCACATCATCTCCTGATACAGAGATTGTGGAACATGTCATACTACATAATCTCTCTCTTTTTTTTGCTCTGAACAATTGTGTGCCTGCTGCGTGGCCATGGTCATTTGGGTGGTGATGATGAAGTCAGGGACGAGGCAGGAAGGTGGGCTGCATGTGCAAAATGTCCATACCCCATTTTGAAGCATACACAGACCTTTAAATGCTTCACTTATCTCATATTGTAAACTCCAACTCGAGAAGAAATATTCACCAGACAGGTCATAAATCATGCCCAAAGACAGGTGCAATAAATACCAATGTCAAAAAGTTACAAAGTAAAATTATATTGTTTTGACAAGGCTTCCAGATGCGTTGACAAAAGGGCCAATGAACGGTCTCCCTTCGGATCGCCCCCATCATGGGTACATGGGTGGGAGAGGGACCCCAAGCCAGCTTAAGACCAGTTCCCCAGAATTCTCATGCTTGTCAATCTCACTATACTCAGGGAGATGACAAGCAAATGTCTCTCCACTTAGGGAAGTCATCGCATGTTAAAATGTTATCTCTGCAAAAAGCCTTTAGCACAAAGTCAACTCAGCATGTCCGTAATGCTTCTCATGGAAAATTTGTTTAGGAATCAAACTGTTGTAAATATGTATACATTTATCACACATTCACACAAAATATATTTATATTTAATACATATTAAATTATAAATTCAGTATTTTTTATTTAATATCAAATACATTTCTATAGATGAGTAAATATTAAATATTGGTAACTATTAAATATAAATTGACCAGTGATTCTTTTATAAATGTATTATTTAGTTCCTATTTATCATTTATGCAAATCTGGATTTCAATATACTTACATGAAAATTCTTTTATATGAGATGTGCTTTTTTCTTCTATCCGTTTAACTAAATTTCACTTCAAAGAAATCTAGCATCCTCATTTTCTTTGTAAAAAGCATTAGCTGTCATCGAGATTTTATTTAAATGACAGAAATCACATAGTTTTCTATGTTTGTTCATATTAACAAGAAAGAATGCCTAATACTGTACCCTACCCTCACTGTTATGTATTTCTTTCTCAGTCATAGTTCCATGAGAGGTGCCAATGTTATTCTTGTAATGATGGACCTGTATTTGTATTTATGCTCCTGCTATAGCTATATCCAGCTATTGGAAATATATTTAAGGTCACAAGTATTTCATCCAATAGTTCAATTTTCTTAACCAGTTTAGTCTCAAATAAATAAGTAATTAGGATAAATTTCTTAGCACTTTGAGTGATAAGAATCATGGTTTAAATATGTTCCTGCATAGAAGTATTAAGTTTGTCCCTGAATGAGTCAATTGTGTTTTTGTTTTAATAACCGTCTCTTTGTTGGGTCGTCTTATCTCATCCATCCTAATATTCAGATATTTACTGATATTCAAGTGATTCTGCATTCAATGGTTGACCAAATCATATTTGTTGCAACAGTTCGAATTTGTACTGGATCTGACAAAAATGAAAGACAAGTACAACAGCACCTTAAAAATATTTTACTAGGATACATTTATGTTGACATGGGATCGCATTCCTGTCTTCTAATTTTGTTGCCAGTCTACAATCACACTAAACTGAGATTGGAAGTTTTAAAACAGTTTATAAACTTCCAACATGCAGGTTGTAAAAGAAGTCCACTCAAAAGTCATTTCTGCAACACCTCTAGAAATGACTCTGCATTAGTAGTTCGGTTCTATATTCCTCGGTTCAAATGGCACTTCTTTCTCTTTTATGAAAGAAAAAACCCACCAACTCTTTTCTTTATATGCTTGAGAGTCCAAAAGGGAATATCAGGTATATTATTTTGCATTTATTCCTTGGTCGGCTGAGCTACATGCCCCTATTTAAAAAAAAATAATAATTCTTTAGTTGAGTTGTATGTGGTCACTTAGACTTATGACCTAGGAAAGCAGAAGTCGGGTGTGGAAGGCCTGGTAGCAGCATCCCATAAACCTGGCCAATGTGTAGCTCTGGACAGGAATGTGAGCCATAAATGAACGCACTTGGAGGGCAAAGGTCATGGTATGTAATTAGCACAGGCCATTTAAAGAAGAATAAGAAAATAATGTTTTACAAGCTGGTAGAAAGAGAAGCAAATAATCATTTAAATGTTCCTATTGTGAGTTCAGTCATGTGTGTGGTTTATTTTATAAGTAACTTTCTTTACTGGCCAAAGGCATGGTGATACTGAAAAAAGTAAGTACTCCTTGGTACCTTGCAGCGTAGACAACGTAGCCCTGTCTTTGAGATAACTTGTAATACTTTATTTCCAGCACTGTGCTTTTCTCTCTAATTCTAAAACTCATTCAGGCATTGGGAAAATAGTAAGTGGAATGAAAAAAAATATGGATATCTCTTTAGGATATGGAAAGCTTTGGGCCAATTTGTACATGAAAAGGAACACTGGACTCTGGTCTTTAAAAACGAGGCATTGGCAAAGGAAGCTGGAAAGCTTTTCTCTGGGTAGCTCAGCCACCTAATGCTTAAGTGACCCATTCATGTCACTCTTGGGGATATCCAGTTGCCCATTTCATTGAAAAATAAATGAAATGAATTTTCAGCTGTCCACTTAGAATTGCAACTGACTTATTGTTTAAGGTAGGAAGTGACTTCTGTGCATATTCAGGTAAATTAAAGTTCATGTGAAGTGAGTTTTATTGCCTACGTGCTTATAATTATACCTAATGCTTTTTAGATCAAGAAATGGAAATACTAAGCTAAATCTTTCCTTTTTTTTTTCTTGTCATTAAGATATTGGGGCAGTAAGTTTTCCTCACATATACGTAAACTGAAGGTAAATTATGACAACCAAGCATATAAAGACACCCATGTATTTATAGCAGATAAGTACAAGCCATTGCTTTTGAAGTCCCATGCAGAATAACACATCTGCTGTCTTATTCTGAAATTGTCTTCAGCAATCAATCATTCCTTGCTATACTCTATACAACTGGTCAAGTCACAGTTGTTTCTATCCAGGTGCAAGTTCAATTTTATCACAATTTCATTTAAAATCATTTCTTCTTGGCTTCATTACCAGAGGAGTTGCAGTCTTGGATCAAAAAGCTGATAGTGGAAGACTATTTCACTGGTAAGGATGCTGTGAGTTAACTCAGATGGAAACCTGGGAACTGGTTTTCATTCTGTTTCCTATATAGGCAGTAAAAGAACAAATTAATGGGGTGAAACAAGATCTCTTGCCTGCTAAGTTCCAAGGAACCTATGTGATATTTAATTACTTACAGATATTGAAACTTTCTTCCATGAATCTATTTTTTTCTCAATATTTTACTGTTCAGTGTTTTGCTTTATTTTATTTTTTAAGTTAGTACATGTATGAGAATAGCGTACAGCCACATGGC